TGAAACAATTGAAGGCTGGCCTACAAATTTCTATTTGTAATCAGGTTACTCTATGTACTTCAATGCCTGCTGTTTGGTAAACCTGGCAAATATAAGTATCTGTAGCTACCCCTAATAAAATTATATTTATATTTCTAATTCCTTGTTAGGTTTTAAAAACTTTATATACATTTTGAATTCCAAGGCTTTGTATTTTTAATCATTTGCAGTTTAACCTATTGACAGCCCATGCAGGACAGTAGGGAAATGTTTGTAACCATTGATTGTAGAAGATCCTGCAGCCACTGGTATGCCCTATGTCTCATCCAGAGCAGGGGTGGACTGACCATTTGGAAACTCGGGCGCTGCCCGAGGGCCCGGGGTCAGTAGGGGGCCCCATGAGATGCCCCTGGTTCCTTTTTCATAGGCTTTTTTGAGTATGGGCAAGGACATAGGGGCCCCATGATCCCCTATTGCCCGGGGGTCCCATGAGTTATCAGTCCACCCCTGATCCAGAGTACTATAATATTTACAGGCTATGGCATGTAGTAAGTGTTAATGATTGGCTGGCCTGTGGCCAGTGTATTTTCATGAATATTTCCCTAGGCTGCATAGCTATAGGAGGGGAAATTTCAGCACTAATAATGTAAATTGCCTGCACAGCACTATGCTATTCAAAATATCTCTTTGCAAAGCCGTAGTGTAGGCATGCCTACAGTATCCTCCAATTTACCTGTAATTTAGAATGGTCTCTTACCCAGAAAACTGCCTTGGTCAGCTTCATGTGTCAGGTGTGAGTAAAAGTGGAAAGAGAAATGGAACATTACTAGATTTTGGCCATGAAAGCAAAGAATTAAATTATGAGCAGTGTTAGTAAAAAGTGATATATGAGCAGAAAAATATAGGTGGTGCTATTGTTGACTTAGTTGACTGTCAACCGGAACCTAGATTGAGTATCTAGAACCTTGACTGATTACCTGAACCATTACAGTGACATTACAGTGGAAGATTCATGAAGCTAGTGAAGTCTGAAAGAGCTAAATTTCTAGTGTTTATTGTCAGTGTTTCATTGCCCTTACTCCTGGACAGAGCTGTCAGTGGAGTACTATAAACCCAGGCAAGCAAGATGATGTATCCCTAAGGGGGAGTCCAGGTCCAAAATGATCTGGACTTGTAAGCCATTCCTTGACAGGCTGGTCTTATAGTAAGTGGGTTGGATGATGCTGGTCATCATTCAACCAGAAAAAGGATTGGCACTGGACCACAGAGCGCAGAGTCTGAGGGAGAAAGTGCCGGTGAGTACTGCAGTAAGAGCTGTTTATTTTGTACTTTTTTTTAACATGCCTGACTACTTCTTTTTAACATATTGTGGACTTGGACATTAAGTCATGTCCAAGATGACAGCCCCAAAGTCTACAATAATAATGGCTCACGGGTTCTCTTTAAGCATCCATAATAATTCATCAACAAGATTATTATTCGGTATTTGTGCTCTTAAATTATTTTTTTTACATTTTCTGTAATCACAAATCAACAGATGTGTTTGGAATTTACTTGCTAAGATTTGCAGTGCCAATGAAAACAGCTCCAGATGAGTGCCACTCTCCTCTTCTTCCTTCTCTCCCATGGGATAGACAAGTGCCAAAACTTTAATGTGTGATGTATCTGTTGTACTCAGTGATGACAAAGACAGGATATCTCCACCAACCACTATGAGAAAGCACATTTTACTATATAAAAATACATAAGTACAATTACATTTTTCTCTTTTTATAGCCTTATATTCCACAGAGCTTTTAGCGCAACATAATTGGTAATGAAAGCAGTGGTGACTGGAAATATGGAAAAGAGAATACCCATACTGTCTGTATTGCAATCTGCATTTCAAGATTATTTGTACAGGCAAGAGCTAGCAAAATGTCGGTTAACCTTCATTGTTAGGTGCTATTGAGTTGTGAGCGCTTAGCAAAGATGGTTCACAGCAATTGTTGTGCTGAATCTAACCTATACAAATAAACCTTTACATTGGTGCCTGAAGTCATATATATCTCTTATCCCTATTTCCCTATTACTGATGAGAAATGCAATAAACACTTGCTACAGCACAAGAACCTGCTGCAATGTAGATGTCTTTGGAAACTGACTTTTTTTCCACCATATTCAGGTAAGATATGAGGCCTAGTTGGTCTTCATTTTATGCTGAGGTCATACAGGTGATAAAGCTGATGCATGCTTCAATTATTCACCCCTTGCTTCTGTGCTAAAATATAAAATCACCATAAAGCACCTGATTTAAAAATATAAATATATCTAAGGAAAATATTAATAAAGTGTGAAGAATTATCCATCTAATAGAGCCACTAAAATAAATATTTCTATTAGAAATATGTTCTAGCATCTACCATATAAGCAAAATTTTAGATGTACTCTTTACTGCCCTCCACCTCCACCTGTTGCAGACGTCCAAGTTCCTTTGGTTAGATAGTGAGTCAGAGAGGGACAGGACAGATGTGTTGATTTACTAAAATTGGAGATTGAAAAATCTGGTGCACCTTTGCATAGAAACCAATCAGCTTCCAGGTTTTATTGTCAAAGCTTACTTGAACAAGCTGAAGTTAGAAGCTGATTGGCTACCATACACAGCAGCACCAGATTTTGCACTCTCCAGTTTTAGTAAATCAACCCCACACTGTTGACAAATAAGATGAAGCACAAATGACTACTTGTCTGAACCTCAATTGGTACTATGTCCTGTCCCTCAACTTCCTCACTATGCAACCAGAGTGCCTTACAGCCTTATGAGGCTATTCTGATTGCCTAGAAAGTAGGCACAGCACCAGTTCTCAGCTTAAGCTATTGCCTATATTTACTGTTTGCCAGGGAACTAATACTTTGTTTATATCACCATCAGTTCACAGAGCAGAAGAGATTTTAAGCTGCAGGCATGAATAAGACAATAAAACACAAAATAAATTTGGTAGATTTTATTGAGAACATAAATAGAGCATTGAAAGTTGTAAGTTCACAAATCTTGCCTTTTTAACAGTACCCCCATCTTAACGTGCACTTTAATCAAATTATTACCTGTATATCCAAGAACTTGAAAACAACTGGAAGGCTTTGCATCTACTATAAATATGTGCCCATCAGCGCCCCCCGTCAGGAGGAAATTTCCTTTTTGATCAAAACTAGAGAAAAAAAAAAATTGCAGATTAAACGCCCTGCTATTTTTTTTATATGTAAATATTTGTTACTGTCGGTGATGGAATTACAATCTGTTAATACTGACAGTGCCTAAAGATCTTGCCTGTTTGGGTCTTTAAAAATCATTTTGGGGGTCAAAACATGAAACAGACCCATTTTATTTAAACTGCATATGTCCGTGTCAAATACGCACACTCTCTCTTTAAAGCAAACCTATACTTTGCCCATTCAGGGCAAAGCAGCATGTTTGCCTTAACCCCTATTATAACCCCAGCGTATACTTATTTTTGCTTCACTGCCAGCTGCCCTGTTCAATGCCAGGAGCCTAAAGGAAATATATAGTACCTCTGAGTATGGAGGAACATGTAACTCATTTGTCAGATTTGTCACAGGGGAAGTCAACTTCAGTGACTCATAGCTTACAGGGCTTTGCCTTGCCCCCCCCGGTTGCAGAACAGAGCAATGGGGGAGTGAAAGCAAAGTAAGTACTGTATATGTTGCTGAGAAGGGCTGCATTAAAACCAACCTGTTTCTTTTCCCGATACGGCAAAGTGCAAGTTCACTTTATAGTGCACTCCAGAAAGGGATCAAGTCAAATAAAAGGTAACTTACTGCAGGTGCAGAACAGGAACATGATAAAGTCTTTTTCTTTGAACTATTCGAGGAGATTTTAGTTTTACTCCATCAATTAAATAAATATGTCCGGTATTGTTTCCAATTGTTGCATAATGGGATGATGGGCAGCATGCCATGCAAGTTACCTAAGGAAGAAAGGCTACTTTACCACTCAAAGACAGACATGGGTATGATTTAGCAGATCATGATCAATATGTTGATTTATTTGTGTACTTAAACATCACAAAATACAGGGAAATTACAGTAGAAAGATAACATTTAATAATTCAGCAATAATAGACATTTTAACATAATTACCTGGGTGTCAAGAGCCAAAGCACTGATGTTTGCTCCATCTTCCACTGACCACATCTGGACATCTCCAGACTTGCCTACACTCTTTAATTTGAAAATAAAAGGAGATAATTTTAGGCATGAAACTTGTGTTGGACGTAATAGAAGAATGGGGACTATTCAACCTTAGAAATACATGACCTTTTCTCTTGACTTTCTATTATATAGGAAATGTATTCTCCCCACTATATCAAGCCGTCTCTGTTGATTAATAAACTAAATTACTACTTAAATGTCCTGACAGAAGGATAGATAGTAGCTGAGTTTAATTATCCATGAATTTAACGGTAAACATAAAAGTAAAAAATACGGCCCCATGCATACTTCCTAACATATTAAGGGGTAAGTCTATGCAAAGATTATAACTCAGACTTAGCTGTGTTCTAGCAAATTTGATCTTCTTTTGTCTTGGTAAATTGTTTGAGACCCCAGAAAGAGGTCTCACTTCTCTGTCATAAGCATTGAAGTAAGAGAATCAAATTAACATTCAGACGACTAGCATTTTCAGGAGAGAGCATTTAGCATGTGTCCAAGACCAGTGGAAAACAAGGTGAACAAATTCAGGGAATCAGTCCCGGTATTGTGCGTTATCTACTAAAACTGGAGAATTCAAAATCTGGTGCAGCTCTGCACTGAAACCAATCATCTTCCAGGTTTTATTGGCAGAGTTTAATTTAACAAGCCGAAGTTAGAAGCTGATTGGCTGCCGTGAACAGCTGCACCACATTTTGAGTACACCAATTTTAGTAAATCCCCCCCCATTGTGCCTGAATTATGTGAAATTAAAAATGCAAAGGACTTACCATGCAGTACTTGCTTCCATTGGTCAGAAAATCCACACCAATTAATCCCTTATTGTATGCGTTAAGAATTTGGATAGGGTCTTGAGAATGTTTGTGGTTGTATATATATACAGAACCCTAAAATAGAAGATAAAGAGTGTAGAGCAGTTCAAAGCTGTATATGTTGTGTAAAGCATACATTTATAGAACAATGTTATGCAGGAAGAATTATGTTCCTGCAAAATTCAAGAACCAATATAATTCAGGATGTGTCCCTTTAAATTACTGGTATATTTCTTCTATTCCACAATCCATGCAGCATCTTTGCATAAGCATGTTTAAGGCTCAACATTTTATTTTATTACTGACAAGAGTGCTTCATCCCTCTCATAGGTCCAGATGCAGCAAAAACATTACTGCAGGAGCAATGTAAATGCTTCCACATGGCGATGACGGCAAAACCACAGTCACAGGAACAAAAGAAATGGGAGCAGCAACAGGCCAGCATGATCCAGCAGAGACCTGTAGATGCAACAGTGCAGGTAGTGACAGTAATTCAATCATGAAGCTTTGCATGTGTTTTCACTAATGAGGAAAGCCTTTAGCTTACTTTCCAACTGCACACCAGATGGAAGACTACAATACACACAGCTACTGGTTGGTGAATTAGATGAAACTGTTGCTGTTAGATTGAGAGGTCCTGAACAGAACTGGAAAGAGATTTTCTGCAGCAGCAGGTATGTACTAACAGCTTATGTTGTCAAATTTCTGATAGAGGTTTTTGACATTTTATTTCAAGCACAGGTTCACTTTAAAGCATCAGTAAATGTAAATTCAAATTTGTTGATATAATTTTGTGACATTTTTAGTAGAATTTAATTGTAGAGCAACGGCCACTATATGGCAGACATCCAGCAAGGATCCCACCACAGCTCCTGTCTGCCCACAAGGTAGCACTCTGATGGACACATTGAATGTTAAGGGGCACTCTGATAGGCCCAACATAGAATATGCCCATCAGAGTGCCCCTTAACATAACATGTGCCCATGGGAGTGCCCCTTAACATAAAATGTGTCCATCAGCATGCCCCTTATTTTATGTTAATTTTATGTTAAGGGACACTCTGACAGGCACATTTTATGTTAAGGGGCACTCTGATGAGCACATTTAATGTTAAGGGTCACTCTGATGAGCACATTTTATGTAAAGGGGGCACAAATGGGCACAAACTGTGGAAAGGGGCACTCTGATGGACACATGTGATGGAAAGGGGCACTCTGATGGGGAATATGATGTAAAAGGGCACTCTGATGGGGAAATATGATAGAAAGGGGTACTTTGAGTGTAAGGGGGCACTCTGACGAGAATACTTGATGTAAGGTGGCAATGTGATGGGGATACCTGATGTAAAGGGGAACTCTGATGGGGACAACTGATGTAAAGGAGCACTCTGATGGGCAAACCTGATGTGATGGGAATACATGATGTAAAGTTGAACTCTGATGGCGACACCTAATGTAAGGGGGCACACTGATGGGCACACCCTATTCGGACCTCGGCCAGAAGAAAATTTTAGTGACCTCCTGGAATTTTAATTCAATACCCCTATTGTAGAGGATGTTTGAGATACAGGGTTCTGCAAAGCAAAGAGATTCCTACACATAGTTAACTCCCTATCCAAAAAACCCTTAAAACAATACTGTCTCTGATAGTCTTTTATCCTAAATAATAGATAACAGAAACAGACTGCAGTAGAATCTAAAATATTAGTAAATGTCTCAGTGTCATTAAGTAATCAATGGTATGAATAGCTCTTTTATATAAATTAACCTCTGTATTAGGTCTCTTGGTCCTCTACATTTCGACAAGTGTCTGTGCAAAAGCTCGCAAAGCTTCCAAGTTGTATCCAGGTTTTGGAAGTATGGAGTTGCTCAATTTTTGGGAATTAATAAATATTGATTCATGTGACTCTCTTAGTCTCTTTGGTTTACCTTGCTTGTTGCAATGGAAAGAATCCTGTAATTACTGGAGAAAGCAATATTTTCAATGGGTTCCTTTGCATCCCAGCATTGTTCAAGTTTACATTCTGAACCCTTTACGGAACATGACCACAAAATGCCTTCCTGGAAAATACATACAAATTAATCATGTGAGAAAAATATATATCATTGGATATAGGAAACCATCAGCAAAAAAATGCAGAGGATGCCATTGCGGAGCTCTCCTTCTGAAGATGCTAGCTACCTGGATGTTACAGTGCCCTATTGGAATCAAGAGTCTGAGTCACAGATCTAAGAAAGGTTTGCAGATGGGTGTTATTGCTTTGACTTTCTAGATCTGCATACTTGTTTTAGGTTAGTGGCTCATAAATTATTGAAGCCAGGGACAGCCAAGCAAATAGCTCTTTCAGCAGGAGTTTAGCAGTGACATCTGCTGTATTTCTCCTACGGCAGATATAGGGCCTGTGTTAATTAATAAACAGGTGCATCTGACCTGCAATTGAGCTACTATGAGCCTCGCATAGGAAGAAAAGCAGATCTGATGCCAACAAAAGCCTATAGACAGTGGCCATAACTCAAAATTAAGATAAATTTAGAGCACTGATTAATTATTGGTTCATGGTGTATGATGCCCATCAATTGTTTTTCTGAATAATTATCTGGAGAGAACCAAGTAAAGCAAATCCAAGTACAAACAAGCAACATGCCTGACAAATGAGTTTATCCACATAACTAAACATAATCTGAGTATGTCCTTTAGGGGTATGTCCTGTATGGGTACAGAGTTTGATAAAATGGTTCAGGTCAGGGGCAGACTGACCATTTGGAAACTCGGGCACTGCCCGAAGGCCCGGGGTCAGTAGGGGGCCCCATGAGATGCCCCTGGTACCTTTTTCATAGGCTTTTTTGAGTTTGGGCAAGGACACAGGGGCCCCATAATCCCCTATTGGCTGGGGGCCCCATGAGTTGTCAGTCCGCCCCTGGTTCAGGTAGTATGTTTTGTTAATATTTACAGTATTTCTAACTTCTTGAACACCTAACCTGTATATCTCTCATGGAACAAAGCAATTTTTGCATTTCAGCTATTGTGTTACCATGGATAAAATGTAAAAATGTTATACTGATAATTGTCCCTTTATGCGGACATTAAAATTTGGCTTCTGGTTTAAAGCATTGTGAAGTTATTCACCAATACAATAAGGTGATCAGTGTTCCTGAAAGGGATGGGATACAACTGTTAAGCAGCCACAGCATGGTGAGTATTAGAAGCTTTCCATAAGCATGGGACAGGGAAGCACTGGCCATATGAGGTACAGTATGCTCAAGGTATTTAGTCTTTTGGCTGCAACTCTGTTAAAGAATAGGCAAACGTTTGCATTAACAATAGTATATCCGTTTTCCAACTCTGTAACAAAGAGTGCCTTGTTTCTTTAGGAGTAACCCACTTAGGGGTTACGTAAAGTATGCTTCCATTGAGATAACACTTTATACTGGTTCCATTCCAGTATGGGGACCATTTACAGAGCATACCTTAAAAAAATTACAGCATATTGTACCTTTTTTGGATGCTTATCTGGAAATTCCAGCAAGGAAAAATCCTACAAGCTCCCTTTTGGCTGGAGAGCTGTTTTTGCTATACTTAAAGCGGAGCTCCACCCAAAAGGGGAAGTTACACTTTATGGACTGCTCCCCATTAAGGATTGGCACCTTTGGGGGGCGGGGGGAGTGGGTACCCGAATTTGACAAGTACCCGCTCCCACTTCCGGTTCGATCGCCTAGGCGATCGGAAACGGAAAAGTGTCCTCCCTCCCTGTTTTCTTTTGGGACACGTGACAGGTCCCAGAGGCCTACAGGACCATTCTACTCGCGCATGCGCAGTGGGTACTCGGCTGTGAAGCTGCAAGCTATCACAGCCGGGTGCCCACACTGAAGATGCCGGCCTCCTGGAATACAGGACGGCCGGTGAAACGAGCTGCGGGGGACACACCTTTGGACTGAGGGACAGGTAAGTGGCTGTTTTTTAAAAGTCAGCAGCTACAGTTTTTGTAGCTGGTGACTTTTATTTTTTGATAGGTCGAGTGTAACTCTGCTTTAACCTTGTCTTTACCATACTGGCAGATTTCATCTTATCAGATGCAAACTAGATTTGAACATTGTCTGTCCTAAAAAAGAGTTAAATGTTTAGAAGCTGGGCTTCTCCATTGTATGTCAATGAGAGGGAGCTCGACCTGCACAGAAAATCACTGACATATCTTTATATCATCCAGGACTAAGAAACACCCACTGCTGATGCCTGAGCAGAAGAGGTAGGGCTGGGAGGTCATTTAATCAACCTGAAAACTAGAAATGGGGGAGCTTTAAATAAACATATTTAAAAATTCTTACACTTCCAGCTACGTAGAGTCCATCTTTGTAAAGTACAACACTGTTTATGCTTCCTTTCATAACAGTACCTCTGGGCAATTCATCTGAAGAGAAACAGAGTTTATGCAAGTTAAAGGGAGCTTCACAAAGAAGTATATAACTTAAATTGATTCTACAGGCTGAAGGTTTTTTTTACCTTCATGCAATCTATGCATGAAGGAAAAAAACCTTGCAGCTCCCTCCGCAGCCCTCCCTAATACTTATCAGCCCAATCTCAATCCAGCGCTGTGCATGAGAGCAGTGGCTCTCCTTGGTTTCTGCCTCCTAATTGGCTCAGACACAGCAGAGGGAGCCATCCCAACCAGTAACCACTTGTTACGGACCTTTGACTTATTTACTGATTATGCTTCTGCTTGATTCCTAACTGCTATATCTGCTACTGGACCCTGGCTTGCACACGTCCTGGGGGGACGATCCGGAAGACAGCAACTAACTAACATACAGCACAAGCCATCTCCACTATTAGCAGCTCCAGTGAATACTGCTTAGTGCTTAGGGTAAACCTACATCATCCCCCAGGGTGACCTGCTTGTATACTTATCCTGCTACTCAGTGGGAGCCTCTTTACTGCTATAGCTACTGGTCTCTGAGCCTGACCCCTGACCGTGGCACTCCCTTTCACAAGCCAGTAATCAAAAAGACTTGCTTCCTCAGTTATCTGTTTAACCTACATTATGCCACACAGTTATTTGGCTTTTTGAAGACTGCTGTAGCTGCACAGCACAAAGATGTCAGATAAATGTCCCTGGCCTTCCTAGGAGATAATCAGCATCTGCTTCTTTTTTTTGTTTTATATGGAGTCATTCTTTACATTTGGCAAATATTTTAAGGTACCTACAGTATATCATAGTGATCTTGTAACTACAGTATGTGCTCACATTTGTGCTTCTTTATATATTGATAAAGCAAGAGTGTACCTTCTTTCCAACCTCCTCTTCAAATAAAAGCCAGCAATGCTATATTGGCTGAGCATTAGCTAAACATTTTATTATTTAATTATACTTATAGTTAAAAGTAAAGTCCAGAAATTAAGTATTTTACCAGCTGTTTGCCAATCCACTGGGCTAAGAACTGTAACCATCTGTGTTTCTGGATTAATGGACAATAGTTGTCCTCCTTTGCAGCCCACATACAAGTCAGACGTTGCACTCCAGCAATGTGTATTGGGTTTAACAAATGGTTTTCGGACTTCTTTAGGCTTAAATACAAAAATAAAGTAAACATTTAATATTAGACAATACTGTTATGCTTTGATATACTGTGCCAAAAAACTTTACCTGATGTGCTATCTAGGGAACAAAGCAACTTTTTTTTAGAATATAAAATTTTAATAAATGTAGTTTTCTTTTTCTCTGACTACAAGCACCAAGCAAACATTGACAAGCAAGCACACTCTCTTAAAGTGTATCTAAACCCAAAAACAAAACTGTAATATATTACCAGACCTTAGATTTGTGGCTGTATTTGTTTTTTGCAGAGCTCAATCTCAGTCCTGTGAAGACTGAGATTGAGCTCTGCAGTCACTTTTTCTTATGCAGCAGTTGTTTTCTTATTCCGGGTCACAATTCTGTGCAATGTCCTTTTGTCTCTTTTGGTCAGTTAACCATGTTGACCGTGTTTATGCTTATGAGACAAAATGTTTTCCCAGAAACTGTAAATGCTGTATATACCTTTGATACTGTACCTCAGGACAATGGAAATAAATCGGCAAGTTCAGTCACACCAGAGGCACCAACTAAGTGGGCACCAACAAATTTCCCTCTTTGAAATTTGGTAAGCTCTGTCATGATTTCGTATTACTAGCAGCGCATGCAGTGAATGATGAAAGTGAGGCTTCCCACTTGTTGGCTAGATGTCTCATCACACAGCGGAAGCAAAAGAATGTTACATCACTTCTGCTTTCCATGTGAAACATGTTGTCACATTCACACCTTCAATTCCCATTTCGATTTGTCTAAACCCTGTAATTTGCATATAAATGTATCTGAGGCATGCCATAATGCTTTTAGAGAATTCATGAATCAAATTTGAATACTGGAATAAAAAAATAATCTATGGAAATAAAAATACCACACATGTATTGCTTTTGTAAACTGAGGTTAAAATAACAAACATATATAAAGAAATCTCTATGCTCTTCTGGGAAAAAAATACATTATGCTCTATAGGTTATTACTGGTATGGACATCACCACTTACCATGAAAACTTCTGCTTCATCACCCAATAAGCCAGCAATGGCTGGTACTGGCATCTGGGGTCCAAGGTATGAGAGTTCAGTGTCAATTTGAGAAGTAAAGTACTCATTATCTGCAGTCATTGTACCATCCTCATTAGGAATTTTAATTAGTCTGTAAGTTAAATGCAGTGTAAAATTGAGTCAAATTTTTGTTAGGGTTAGAGCTGAACTCCAGGTAAATGATAAAATACACAAATGAAATACATATATTCAACCAGTTTTACCCGCCTAAGTATTTGTATTTCTGGCTATCCAGTTCTAAGCTTTACATTGCTCTGCCAAACACCACAACCAGATTTTCTCTGCTGCATCGAGGAAGATCTAGAGGTCTTGTCCTTCCCTATGCTATGCCTGGGTAACATCCATGGCTACTTACATAAATAAGTGTGGGGGGGTGAGTGTAGTGACCTTAGGGTAAGGAGTGTGTTTTTGCAGGACTACCAGGTAAACATAAAGGAAAATATTCCTGAAAAGAAAAAAAAACTAATTAAAAACTAATAGCCACCTTATCTAAGAACTGGTAGGCTACATGCACACAGGCATTTGGAGCCTTAAAAAAATATGTCTAGCGTAACATCCAAACTTTTTCTGAGCCCGTGGAGCCACAGGTGGCGCATACTAGACTAAACGGCAGTACTTTTGTGCATTGGCAAAACACACGCACATAAAAACCAATATACTAAACTTTCTAACAAACTCCTCCACCATTGTTTGAACAGTCATGTAACCTTGTGTGATTCTTCTCCACAAAGCAGCAGAGCAATGTTATATTTGTATTGCCAGTGTGTGGAGGTGGGTGTGCTGATTTCAAAATAGGTGATCTGTTACCGTTCTTTATAAATATTCCTTAAAGCCAGAAAAAAAAAACAATGGGCCCCTACAGGTTTAGGTTATAATGTACTAGTATGCATCACAGACTTACCTTAATATGGAGCCCTCCAGTGCAGCGCTGTCACGGCTTCCCTGTGCTACCATATTCGCCTACTCATCTTTCCAGGTTCACGGGCTTCAGCCGTATGAATGGCCAGACCCGCGATGACATCTCTCCTGCACACTGCACATGTGTGCAGAAGCCCTCGGCTGCGGCACGGGCTCTGAAGGTCTGGCACGGCTATGCCATTCCTTCACATGTGCTGGTGACATCACTGGCTGCGTGCTGTGTGAATATCTCCTAAACAGTGCAGGTTTAGGAGATATTCACAGTACCTACAGATAAGCCTTATTATAGGCTTACTTGTAGGTACAACCTAAACAAAAGACTTTACTACCACTTTAAAAGGACCTTTACACAGAACCTCTTTTCTTGTAACTGACTACTTGTATGACACAGGATGCTACTTTTAATCTGACCATAGATGGATTAATATTCATTTGGTTTGGCAAGTTCTGGCCAAATTTCAGTCCATCTATGGATGTTCCTGTACAATGGAAGTTGAACTACTGATTGAACTGGCTTGTTGAAAAATATTCCTTCAATCAGTGCTGCAGCCAATCGGCTGTTGATCAGTGTATTCTAACAGCGGAGGAGTCCCCATCTGTTAAAATACAATAGCAGAGGGGAGGATTCCTCCATCCACCTTGCTTGTGTCGATGGGGGAATCAGTTAGGTTTTATGTTGATCAGCCCACTGTCTGATTGAGAAAAACTGGTCTGTGTATTGCCAGCCTTAGAGTACCAATTTTCAGCAAGGAAACAGAATCACATCAAATGGCTGTAGAAAGAGATGTCTCTTTTCCTGCCCACCACTGTCTGCCCTCTCAACACCTCATAAGACCTGTCTTTATCACTAAGGATGACCCTCTCCAAATATTGATGTTAACCCCTTCTGGAAAACTAGAACAGGCCCGGCATGACTTTTTCCTCCTGGGCAACTCTCCAATGATACAATGTTTTAGTGGAAGCTTATCTGTAAAAGGTAATAAAGTGAACTAGATAGATGTTCTGAGACAAGATCTTGGGAAGTCTATGATACCAAAGTGTCAGGCTCCTGATAAGGTAAACATTTTAGGTGTTCATTTGAAGACAGGGAATAAGTTATAAGTGTGAGATTATGTATACATCCCTACGGAACAGACAGTACACCGTCCATGTGTGTTTATGTGGCTTATCTGGTAACAGGAAACAGGAACTTTTATAATAGAGAAAAGACATAGAGTTTTATCATAGATGCAGCACAAAATTACAAAAACTGCCATCTACTGGTTGAAGAATATATCTCTACTGAACATTGACACTGATGTAGTTGTACAAAAATACATGAACAAGGTATTCCAACAATAGGTTATTTCTAACTCCTTATGTTAATACTAACTTTCTGAAAGTCAGTATTTGAACAGCTAACAGTGATCAGGCTTGGTGGCTGGATTTTTGAGCAACAGGTTCTTTCTCCTTTAGAGAGGAGGGCTGTCCACTCACTCCATACCCCAGAAGTCAAGGTTTTTTATGACTTCTAGTGGCTTTGTGGTGCTCATACCCATCCAAAAGCTTGTCATACACATTATACAGCATTAATGGATGAATCTGCAGTATCAGTTATAGTATTCTGGCAGCCAGTTCCAGCGGCTATCAAAATACTTAAATTGTGGCTGAATCTGACTGGATACAGCTGCTGTTCAGCTGACAATTTTCCACCTGGCTCCTTCGATTTTTCAGTTGAAGAATGTTTGGTGGGAGGGGAAATATAGGTTAACCAGATTTAGTCCGTGTCTTGACTGTATTTATTTAGCCACAAATCTTGTAGTATAACAGTCAAGTACTCACTGATAACGAGTACCGATAATTTGCAGTGCGATTTGTGTCAATACAAAATGTATAGACGCAAATTACACTGCAAAGAATAGCATGTGATATGAACAGGAATGCTGATTCTGCCCAAATGTGGTTTCCCCACTGCTCCTTTCTGAACCCAGGTTTGTCATAGCCTGAGTTCACACACGATGCGGGAAACCTCCTTGCACCAAACCCATGTTGTCACAGAAGGAAAAGCTAGGAATTTGAAATCCCTGTGGCTTTCTCTCCCTTCAGGTGTGTGTGAGTGACGTTCCTGAGGAATATGATGCTTACACTAGTGACTTGCTAAGCAGTAAAGTAAAAATAACGAGACCGGTTCCAGAGCCAGTACCTTGGAAAGAAAGTCAGCAATAGAAGTCTCTGTATTTTTACTCTGAGATGTTCCTACACAGCTGTGATTATTATTAGCAGCTTTATTTGTTAAAGCAAGTATGTAATTCTTTTGGTATGAGTACAGTAGTGCTTCAAAGATAACATTTAAGCAGGAAGTGAGTCTTACTTTTCTTTCAGGTGATACACTGTATCACATACTTCAATGTTCCACACAGTGACAAATTCCTCACTAGACAGGCATAGCTGATGCCAATCACTAGGGTTAAAAGTCAGACCGGTAAAACTGCTGCTGTAATACGACTTGCTGCACAGAGAAATGCCTTCCTGCCAATTCCTGGAATTATAAAAAAAAAAAAGTTACATATAAACGCATTCGTTAGCAAGATACACATTTTATGTATAAACGCTAAGAACAGATATTAAAGTGTTACTAAACCCCGGACCCTGCATTCACTATATCTGGTCTCCCACAGTACACAGAACATGGAAATGCAATTATTTTAGTAAATATAAACTGTTAGAGGAGTCTTGTAACTTCTATCAGTGTCCAGCAGAGCATTGGTTAAAGCTTGTAGAAAGAGTTTTAATTTTCTGCTGATTGTCCTATGAAGCTGCATAACCCCTGACCCTCTGTCTGGACAGTGCTGATTGGCCCTGTGTAGATTACATACACTCTCCCAAGAGAAAAGAAAAACTCTAGCAATACACACCAAACTGAACAAGTACAGCTTGCTCCCAAGGCTCTGTTCTATCAGCAGTTGGAGTGGGGACTGTGGAAGGAGCGGAGGATCAGAGAAGACAGGATCAAACAGCCTTT